GAGGTTAATATAAAAAATATTTTTTGTCCGATTCATCGATTAATCGAAAAAATAATCGTCCGATTCATCGATTTTTAAAATAATCGTTAGTTGCAGCCCTAATATAAATACATACCTACTGTCATGTTTTGTTTTAGGTTCCTAACCCACATGCAGAAACACTCGGAAACAGGAGAAAAAGTTCAAAGGTTTATTGAATAAACAGGTCTGGGGGTTATTAGATTCAGGACTGGTCACGACTGGTTTCTCTGCAGAGAGGGACAGAATGGTTAGCTGTTGTCCGAGTATGCTTGCTGGTTGAATGAGTGCAGGTCTGTACCTGTTCAGTGGTATGAGCTGAGCGGCAGAGGAGGGGAACCAGGGGGGTCCAAAGGCAGGCAGAGGGCTTGGTAGAGGCAGAGACTTGATTTCTGATATTGCAGTTTCTGATCTGAGTTTCACTTCCAGTTTCTTCTGAGAGCGGGCAGGCAGGTTCTAACAGTTTGATCTTCCAGGGTTCTTCGGAGATCAGACAGGCTGGTTTCAGACAGAGAAACTCTTCCTGAGTTTCTGGGTTCAGACAGGTTCTTCCTAAGAAGCAGAGAGGACAAAAACAGGTTAGGTTCTGGTTCAGGTTTCAGGGGAGTCAGAGAATCAGACAGGCAGGTCGGCTCAGGTTTGCTAACCATAACTGGCATAACACTCTGGCACTGGAGTGTTGCTCTACCTCTCCTTAAATGCTGGTCTCCTGATGAGCAAACGAGCCACAGGTGTGGTAGTCAGCTTCAGCTCCAGGAGACCCAGGGAGCCCTCTGCTGGAGGAAGGTGGACAGACCTCCAGATCCCAACACCTACCTACACATATACATACATAAATATGTATACACATATACCTCCACAAACAAAAAATACAAACTAAATTTTCTACAATGCTTCTCTATACCTTTTGAAAATAATTTCTTTGTAAATTTTTTTGAAAAGGAATATGTTTGGGCATTGCTTTAGGTTCTCATAATTCTGATACAGTCCACAGTTTTCAATTTGTATCAGGATGAATGGTTTCTTCTGTATTTATCACTAAGTTGTGTTTTTTTTTTCAGTTTAACAGATAACATTTATGAAATATTCTTTTAAACTTGGCCTACACATTAAAAAAAAAGGAGCACGGTCATAAAAGGACTCCCGCTTATACGCTTTAACCTGCCTCTTTTATACCATTCAGTTGCATTCAGGCATCTGGGAGAGGATGAGGAGTTATTGAAAATCAGAGCGATCATAAAATGGAAAAAGGAGGATTTTAATTGACTTAATTGATTGATTGTTTAGCAACTATTTCCGTGACTTCTAAGCTTGACTGTTTATCGAAATTACAGAGAAGATATTCTGACACCAACTGTGTAACCATATATGCATTTGGATGTCAGGGGAAGACGGGCTGACCTGTTTGAGAACGTAGGAAAACAATAGTAGCTCAAATAGCCATTCTTTAAACCACTTTAACTATGATTTTTCATGAAAAAAATTGTGATCAGCGAATTTCTGCGAGTTTCATACTTCTCAGACTGTGCAGCGGGGCAGTAAATCCTAAGCATTGTCATGCTGAACTTTAGTGCTTTGAGAATAATGAGATGCTTGCGTCTCGCAATGGAAAAAACTTAGATGTAGGAGTTTGCCCTGAAATCGAAGGGTTGATGGTTCAAGCTCCGGCTCCGACTTTTAGTGTCGTTGTGTCCTTGGGCAAGACACTTCACCTGCATTGTCTACTGATGGTGGTCAGAGGGCCCGGTGGCGCCAGTGTACAGCAGTTCTGTCAGGGAGCCCCAGGGCAGCTGTGGCTACAATGTAGCTTGCCACCGTGAGTGTGTGTGTGAATGGGTGAATGAATGTAGTGTAAAGCGCTTTGGTCAAGTCTCCTAACTCGAATAAAGGCGCTATATAAGTACATGCCATTTACCATCTAACATATATCCATCTGCCTTAGCAGCTTCTGCTCTCTTTTCAGTAAACACCAGCATTTATAATTTATTCTGAGCACTAATTGTCTCTTATCTCTTTCTTTTTTGACTTTCTTTTCACACCTTTGTGAGAGAAATCTGTACTTTCTTTGCTCCACTTACTACTGTGTTTACTCAATGTCTGCGTGTGCGTTGTAGTACCTCCTTTAGGTGTTGGTTTTGTTATGGTAAATATACAAAACACTGTTGTTTACCACCAAATGGAGCCAAAGCAATGTGTAAAACAAATTTGTAACATCATAGTACCTGAGTAGACCCCTTTAGGGCACTTGTGGTGGAAAAAGATTTTCAACAAGCTAGCATGAATCATAAAAATGACCATTTAGGGAATGTTAGGTAAGTAAATAGCAGGGGTACCAATTCATTCATATGCTCATTTTTACCCATTAGGCAAAACTGTTCAGAAAAGAATAAAAGAAAAAAAAAACCTGCTCTCCAAGAATCACAACTGACACATTTGGTTGCATTAATATTCTGCATTACCTGAGCATTTGTAATTATTTAGAAGTTGAAACAACAAAAAAATTAGATTTATATTTTATTATAAAGTAAAAATCAGGCAAACATCTATTTTCATCTAAGGGCTTTTATTTAAAGAAATCCAACTCTGTGTGGGGATAGAAACAGGTACTGAAGCAGGCTGACCTCTGCCAGGAATTGGAATTACAGAACCGAGACCCATATTCCAGAGTGTAATTCCCTTCCTCTCTCTCCATCCTCTTCCTCCATGTCTTCACATTCTGAGCTCATTAAAAGCATGTCCACACACACCTTGCTCATCGCTGTGCTCGCTCAGCCATTTACGTGCAAGATGTTTCACATCCAAACGCTCGGAGTCTTAGAATGAGATTCCAAGCAACTCACTTCTGCTCAGGCAGCTGCTTGGCCAGCCTCTCACTGAAGAAAACTGAAGTACATGTCTTTCTAAAAGTGCTCAGGGAAATGTTTCACTCTCATGGAAAATATTTATAAATTCCCATTGCATTGACTTATTATTGAACACCATCGCTTATTGAGAGAGTATGTTAACAGGCTCAGCAAATTGGCATAAAAATGGGATGGATTTAGGAAGAGAGGAAAGCAGACTGCTCTCTGAATCTTGTTGGAAACGTTGTGGAGGCCTCAGTCTTACTCAATATATCCCTCCTGAAAAGACAGGACTGAATGATAATTGCTCTTTAGCTTTTATTTGAAGCCTATTTTACAGTAGCAGCCATTCAAAATGGCCCATCCCAGTCAAAAGCCAGCCGAATGGTAGCCAACTTCCCTGCAGCTCCCAGCAAAATCCCCTTCGACTTCCAGCCACAGGCCTTCTTCTGGGCGTGCATATTTTTTTAAATCGGTACCAT